GTTGCATTTTTTAATCATTAATACTTTTTCATAGAGACTCCAGTAGTAGGTTTGCCTATTGATGTGGATGTGATGACACCACCTGATGAGAATGTTGATGAGGATGGAGATTGTGCTACCTTCACTGCTTAAAACAATAAATTTACTACAGTGCTTGGCTCAGATGTAATAAACACAGGGGAAGCCGTGATGGATTTGTTGGAAACACTTGTTGACCTCTGTGGGATGAGAAATGATTATTTTGGTTGGAGAACTTTGTAATGGCATACAAATTTCTTTGTGATTTTGTGATTTTCGAGTTTTTTTCAGACACACTATTCTTATATACTCAATCATGTGGTAGATACATTGGCGGATTTAGGGTGGGGGAATGGTGGGTCACTTGCTCCACCAATTTTTTTGACTTTTTTTTTTAGTAAAAAATATAATACATTGGTCGATAGGGGAAAATGAGAATTGTGTATTAATGTTATGATTGTACTATTTGCAAGATTTTGATATTGACAAATTGTCTAATTATTTGAATAATTTTATTTATTTTAAAACCACTGAATAGTGTTTGATATTTTTATTTTATTTTAAGTTAAAATGTAATATCATTCTAGAAAAATTAATAGTTATTCTATTTTCCCAGTTATTATTGCATTATGTTTTGGGTAATCAAACTATGTTGTTTGAATTTTGATTAATACTAAAAGTTTAAATTGTATTTGATTGATTTATATATTTTCTATAAAGTGCTTAGATGGCTTATGTTAAAGATTCAGCCTCCATTTGACAAATTTATAAAGAGGAGAATTGTGCAACAATGTCACGAGTTGCCTTAGGCTCAAGAACATGCAGTTGAGTCCCTCCAAGTATATGGTTAAAAACCTTGCCTAATTTCTATGCTTTGCCATTATATGCCTCATTGTTATAACTCTTCATCCGTTCATTTACTAGAAATCTAATGCCCATTGGTGTTTTTTAATTTTTTTTTCTTTTGCTTTTAATATCTCAACCAATCAAATCCTAGAACAAGTCAACATATAAATGTAGTGTAGAAAATAAATTTAATTCTTATCTACAATATATTAAAAGTAGGGATGGTGGAGAGACTTTTTAATATCAAATTTACCCCTACATATTTAACTATATGCCCACTATACCCTCATGACTGGAATACCAATTTAACTAGTATTTATCATTTGGTTTAGAATTAATATAATATAAGAAGTGAAATATTTAATTGATATTTATCATTTGGATTAGAGTTAATATAAGGAGTGAAACTAATATTCAATTATATATAAAAAATAATAATAATAAAATCAGTGGCTTACCATTCAATTGACCATTTTGTTATTACAATTTTTATTTTCTACCAACGAATCAATTTTTATTTTTTATCAATAAAACCCTTATATTACTTCATGATTATATTATAATTTATGCAATGAGTTTTTATTTTTCATCAACAGAGCAATTTTTAATTTTCATGCTTTACATTATAATTCACCAATTAAGTTATTGTTTAATTGAGGTTACAAATATTTTAAAAGTTGCATTAATATATTAATGAGAACATTCAATGAATAAAAAGGAAATTATACACGAAAATTCAATGACTAACACTCAATTGATTTTTTTCTTTATAATCAACAAAGCCCTTATTTCTAATTTAATTAATATTTATCATTTGATTTAGAATTAATAGAAGTGGTGAAATATTTAATTAATATTTATCATTTGGATTGGAATTAATATAAGGAGTGAAACTGACATACAATTACTAAAAATAAAAAATAAAAAAAATCAATGAAAATCAAGTGACTTATCATTTAATTGAGTATTTTGTTCTTACAATTTTTATATTACATCAACAAAGCTATTTTTTTTTTATCAACAAAACCTTATTAATCTTCATGATTTATATTATAATTCATCCATTGAGTTTTTATTTTTCATTAACAAAGCAATTTTTATTTTTATTTTTATCGGCAAATCCCTTATTAATCTTTTTTGATTTACATTATAATTTATCCATTAGGTATTTAACGAGCAATGCCCTACGTATAGGGCACTATTCTACAGGAGTCTTACAGACCCCTCACTATAGCGGCAGGTCGAACCCATCGACCTGTATTAAAAAAAAATATTGTGCGGGCCCCTCCTCTGTGTCTTCTCTGGCAGAACGCTGTGAATCCCCCCTGTACCTAAAGCACGACCCTTATTTAATTGAGGTTACAAAATTGAAAGGTTGTATTAATATATTAATTGGGACATTCGATCACTAAAAAAAATATATTGTGTACAAAGAATTGTAATCATATCATTACATCTCAATTTATTCAACATTTTCACATTATATACTAATTTCATAAAAACATATATATATATATATATATATATATATATATATATATATATATATGTGTGTGTGTGTGTGTGTGTGTGTAATTGAAAAATACTACTAATATCATTCATCGATACATATATATGTGCAACGCACGTGCATACTACTAGTTTGATAATAAGTGTTGGGATCTTTGAAAACTTTGCATCGATCATGCACCTAACAAATGAAGCCAAGTTTGGTAAGATCATGTTTGATTAGATATTTGTCCTCAAGGACATAATTTATGTTATATTAATATGTCTCTTGATTTTGTAGTGTTTTTTCGTTAATACACGGCATAAGCTTTATATCAAATTCAAATGCCGCTTTTCCTTTTAATTACCACCTACGCGCTCATGGCAATTCAGTAAATATTTGATCTAGAATGGACAAAGTGGATAATTGCTATACTATGTTTGCATTTGCATCTTAAAATTGTTCTATTTAAGGATCATGACTAAGAATAAATTATATTTTTTTCTTTATAAACTTGTTCGATCTGGAAATTTGATTGTTTCCCTCTAACTTAAAAATATCTGTGTCACCGCTGTACATGTTTTCCTATAATATTTCTTGAAAGCTACGACAAAAGAGTTTATTGTTGGGCGCATTGATCAAAATTAGTGGCATCAATCGTGTGATTTATGTTTTGATTAAGAGAGAGAGACACATGAAGTGAATAAAATTATGTGAGTCCATGTTATCAAGGGATTGAGTTATTCGTTTTGGTGTTTTATGATGAACGAGTTAGAAGTTTCAGTATTCTATGTTGCAGAATAATTTCTAGTATGCTTTGCTCAATGTTGCATTTTTTTATTTATTTTTTGATGGCCCCTTCAGGCTATATTTCTTTTTCGCCCCAATTACTTTCAGCCAATTATTTTCTCATTTTGACCCAAATCTGCAACATTCTTTGGACTCTGGTTCCAAAAGTTTGTTTAGATAAATATCAGCCAATTTTTCAGGCCCAAAATCAGCCCAATCAGAAAGAATCTCTTCTCTGTTTGTTGTTGGTTTAAACAATGTTTTGAAAACCGACTCGGTCATCGACTTGGAAAAGCAAAAGGATCAAGGGTCGAAAGGTCGAATCGGAGTCGAATCGGTAGTGGAACAAAAAATATTTTTAAACACTAAAATAAGAATAGATAATGATACTGCTAAATGTTAAAAGAGTTTAAATTTTTTAATAATGAAAGAAAGGTTAAAAAAGATTAATTAACTCAATAAAATAATTAACTATAAAATATGTATAAACACTAAATAGTATCATAGTAGATCCCACATTAAAATCTACCACATGATTACACAAGTGTAATGCACATTTGCACACAATAAACGCCAAATTATATATCACATCGGAATCTTTTAAATGAAGCACTACAAATGGTGCCTATAAATGGGTGGGCCAACAAGTGCACAGCAGACTTTTTGGGCCTATTAATTAGTGGGTTAAAAGTTGAGTAGCCTATACAATTTAAAAACCGGATAAACCGGTTACGGGTCGACGGTTAATTATTAAACCGGACAATTAAACGGTTTTTTTCCCGATTTTGAGTAAAACGAGTTTCAAGCATTAACCGGACCGAATTTTTGTCCGGTTCCCGATTTTTCCGGTTGGACTAGCCGGTCTGGTCCAGTTTTCAAAACATTGGGATTAAACTTTAAAGAAGACCCACCTTTCTTCAGCCTTGCTCCCTCGAGTCCCCAAAGATTGATAAAAGCTTCAAATTTAGTGCTTAACATTTTGTTATTATTATTTTTTTAATTTCTACATGTTTTTTGATACTACAAAAATGGCAAACTTGAGGTCTCAAGACACAGATAATCACGTCAGTTAGTCAGTCGTAAGTGCTTTATTAACGAGCTATATTTATGAACAAAGAAATCTACCTAGATTCAAGGGTGTCAATTTCTCGTTGACATGTTAGATTATTAAAAAGTCAAATTTTGGGTTAAAAAAACCTTATACCCTTGTTTGGTAAAGCTTTAGAGGAAAAATAATTTAAGTGGAACTCGTTTTTACTATTTGAAAAATTTAGTAATTTGACTAAAATTATTATTATTATTTTCTATTTAGTTATTTAAAGAGAAGGTAAATTAATTATTTTGCAACGCTTTAATAAAGAAAATGCACGATAAAAATCTTTTGCTCTAAAGGTAAATTACCCATATTTGATGGAAAGAATTGACGGAATGAGTTGAAAATGACCAACTTCACAAGAAAAGATCGAAACGAGGGTGTAAAATGTCAAATTTGAAACGATAAAAATGATTTGCACAATGAGTGTAAATGATGATAAATTTTTGTTCTAATTACTTTATTTTTGAGAAAAAAAGTAAACTTATATTATAAAATAAAAAAAATAAAAACTTTACCTAAAAGATGCTTGTGGTTGGAGCAGTGTAAATGATGATGAATTTTTGTACTAATTACTTTATTTTTGAGATAAAAAGTAAACTTATATTATAAAATAAAATAAAAAACTTTACCTAAAAGATGCTTGTGGTTGGAGCAGTGTAAATGATGATGAATTTTTGTACTAATTACTTTATTTTTGAGATAAAAAGTAAACTTATATTATAAAATAAAATAAAAAACTTTACCTAAAAGATGCTTGTGGTTGGAGCAGTGGACCGACCGGCCACCTAATTCGTATGATCTACGCATTTGACTGACAGGCCCACTAATTAAAACCTTTCTGAGTTTTGCGCCATCTCCTCCCATTCTTTTCTCTGTCTACTGTCTCTGAATCAAATAAATTCCAATATGGCAACGGAAAATGGTGGCAGTAATTCCGATGTATTGAAAACGTGCTTGGTGTTGGGAGGCAGAGGATTCATTGGCCGAGTGCTGGTGGAGAGGCTGCTGAAACTCGGTAATTGGGTCGTCAGAGTCGCAGATTACACAGAGTCTCCCCAACTAGAGCCCTCTGAGTTGCTTCTCTCCGACGCATTCTCCTCTGCTCGCGCCTCTTATTTCCATGTCGATGTTCGCAATAAACCGCAGATCATCAAAGGCATGTACTTCTTCATTTATACATTTATAAACAGTTTACATCTATTTGCACATATATTTGAATAATTCAGTAAAATGGGCAGGGGCGGACCCAAGGGGGGGTCCCCTAGGGTCGCTTGAGCCTCCAGATTTTTTTTTTCTTTTCCGGGCTCACAGAAATATCAAACTAAGTTTAAATATTACATTCTTAATATCATTTTGAAATTCTCGCGACCTAATATTTCACGTCGTTAATGTTATGTGAAATAGCCAATCGTAACAAATATTATGACATGTCAAAATAGGCTATTCCAAACTAATATTTTGTAAAATTCGATAACAAGCTAATTTTAAAAATTTTCCGACGATTGTAAGCTAGCCATATCCATAAATCTTCTATATTTTCTCGAACCTTATTTTGAGAAATATATCATAAATACATCGAATGATCTAAATAAATATTGAAAATAGTTAAATATACGTCAAACGTATATGTTTAAAAGAAACGTATAACTCGTTTTTTTGAAAAAAATCAATTATTTTATTAATGTTTATTATCTTTGCGCGACAAATTTCTCAATACAATTTATATTATTTTATTAAGAAAATTTATATGTGGTATGACGTCAAATTTTATTTTTTTTTGGATGTAAAAATTCTTAATAAAATTTTTATTACTTCACATGGGTTTTAAATTGTTTTACTACTTTTTCATCTTGACTATTTATATCTGAAAAAAAATTTATATATAAAAAAAATTCAATCAATTTTAGGATTTTTTTTTATTGTTACATTTTCCTCTCGATTAATTAATTTATTTTCAAATGATGTCAAAAATTTTATTAGGAAATTTATTAGATTATTTTCTAAAAAAAAATTAATTGATTGAGAGGAAAAAGTAACAATAATAAAAAAATTCTAATAATGATCGAATTTTTTTATATATAAAAATTTTTTATATGTAAAAATAATCAAGATGAAAAAGTAGTATATCAGTTTATAACCCACATAAAGTAATAAAAAATAAAATTTGTCGTCTTTTTTAAAAATTTGATTATGACCCCCTAATATAAAATGTTTGTGTCCATCCCTGAAAATGGGTATGAAGTTGAATGTCTATATATATTTGTGACACGTGCGATACAATGCACTTTATTTTGTAACTGTATTTTGAATTTTTTATGCTAAAATATTTGAATAGTTAAGTTCATTTAAAAATTGCAATTAAAATACAAGAATTTCAGGCTTCAAGGCAAATGTAATATATCATTTATTGTTATATTTAGCCGTCACAATAGCTATGTCTTGGATATGCACTCGTTCGCCTTACTTTTTCTAGGCTTTGTATTACTGTCCTCAACTCTTTGCTCTTTTTTTATAGCCTAGCATACTTTATGAGCTTCTTGATTTCATTTTTCCGCTACAAAGAATGAGAAGAGATCGATAGTGATGAGGAGGATGACAAGGGTATCTAATACGTTGATTCTTATAAATATCCAATTGACGGTGATTATATGTGGGATATCTTGGTTGTTTCTAATACTAGTAATAGATTTCAATTTTGTTATGTGATTACTTATTTGTGATGTATTATTGTCGTTTTATTGATCTATTTTACGATTGTTTGCAATTAGTTATGAACTTTAAAGATGGTTTATGGTTTACTTTAAGCAGATTTTTGGAATGTTAATATTCCTTTCGAATTATTCTACTGGCCGAGCCTTTTTGACATTGACTACAATGTGGAATGTGTTCCAGTAACATAATATTTTCTCCATGCAGCTATGGAAGGTGTGTCAGTTGTATTCTATACTGAATCTATGGCTTCATTTCCTCGAGACTTCTTTTCTTACTATACAATTATTGTTCAAGGTAATTTCTCTTCATTTAATAAGATATTATGATGCAATGGCCTGTTAGATTTTATTTTGCATTTCATCCTATACTTACATCCCCATTGCCTCCCCATTTCAGGTGCAAAAAATGTAATTAAAGCTTGTCGAGAATGTAAAGTTAAACATCTTATATACAACAGTTCTGCTGATGTAGTTTTTGATGGTTCACGTAATATATGTAATGTAGATGAATCATTGCCATACCCTAACCAAGTATGTTTCTGACTCGATAACTTGAGATTTTGCTTCTTTTCTACTCTCCGCCAGTCATTTATAAGATTCACTCTCACTCCTCTGTTTGCATGTCGTAAAACAGTTTGAGAACATGGTCGCTGACCTTAAATCTCAAGCAGAAGCACTAGTCTTATTTGCAAACAAAGTTGATGGTCTTTTGACTTGTGCACTTCGTCCTTGCAATGTATTTGGACCTAGAGATAATCAGCTTATGCCATCCCTGATCAATATGGCAAACTCCAGCTGGGCCAAGGTTTAATAACTATTTCATGTCATATATTCCAGGTTTTGATTAATATTGGTATAATGTTTTGGAAAATCCTTTATTGCTCTTTATTTCTGCTGACAAAATGTGTGCTGTTGATATATTAGCCTTTTCATTGACATTTTCCATGGTTTTTTATGACAAATTTAATGTAAAATAACACCTTACTCTATGTTTAACCTAGAGTGAAATAAATGTTGTTTCTCGTTGTAATTTTCATCATTGATACCTTGTTTGTGTTTTTTCCTGCATATTACTATCCAGCAACTCATGTATATATTCTTTTTGTATTAGTAATAAGCTTTCTCATTTCAGTTTATTATAGGAAGTAGTGAGAATATGTCGGACTTCACCTATGTGGATAATGTTGCCCATGCTCATATCTGTGCTGAAGAATCTCTAAGTTCTCAGATGGTTTCTGCGTCTGGAAAGGTATTTTAGCTGTTACTGTGCTGATTTCTTGCTGTCTCTTTTCTTTCAAGAATTAGGAAAGTCTACCAACAGTTGAAATTTTTGTAGGTCTTTTTCATCACGAATCTTGAACCAATGAAGGTGAGGGATTTTGTACCTCTCGTATTGGAGAGCTTTGGTTATCAGAGGTATCTAACCTCATTCAGATTACTTGATATAGTAAATTTTTGGAGTGTAATAAAATATTAGTTCTCATTGGATGCTTATTTTGCAAATCCGCCAATGACCTGATTTATATGTTGATTATATCATTATGGTGCATTAAGAATTTCAAACTGAGACTTGTGAACTGTTCCGATGAATGTAAGCTGCATCATGAAGTACAAGAGTTTGAGCTGCTGGATTGGGCGTTAAGGTTATTTAAAAAAAAATCTTGATTGAGGCCTGCCTCGGAGTAAAGCGAACAAAAAATGCCTCGAGGTGCTGATTGTGAGATTGTGCTCAGTTGAGCGAGGCATACACCTGAGGGCTTGTGAGGCTGCACTGCTCAATTCTCCAAATTTAGTAATTTTGCTTTATTTGTAGGCCACAAAACTTTAAAAAATATGATTGATACTACCCCACTTGCTATTTTTATAGCATTAAAATGTATTTCTCTTAGACCCACTTTTGGAATAGTCAATGACTCACCAACTAAAGTAATAGTTTCTAATTTTGTTACTTTATAGATTTTTCATTTGTTTGCACATTTTAAATTGTTCTATTAGGAATATTCTGAATTCTCAAGACTGTTTATGATTTATTATGCGCTTACTTGGAGAGGAGTAAGAAAACACCTCAATACCCGATTACGTTTTTTTAAACATTAGACTATTATTTGAAAAAAGCTATTTGAGGCTTATGCCTCAAATACCGGTACGTGATGCCTTCATAAAACGCTTCAAAGCTTACACTTTATGGCACATTTGGCAAATTCGTGAGGCTTACACCTTGACTTAGTGAGGCTTATGCATCGTGGGACTAAAATGTTTGCCCTTTTTCTTGCGTTTTCTGGATGTTTTGTTAGTGGCCTTAGATTTTTGGACTATTTCTTTATAATCCAAGTATGTTTTGGGTCTCTTTTATTTTTTATTTTTTTCCTGGGTAGAAACAGAGGGGAAGTGGAAGTCCTTTTTATTTTCTATTTTCTTTGTAAAAATTGAGGGGAAGGGGAAGGTGAATACATGATAGCTAGTGGAGGATAATGACGAAGAATGAGTAAATTCTAATTGTGATGAGGAGGAGGATGTTATGATTTTCTTGAGGATCCCATTATAATTTTTTTCCGGATTATGATAGGCCTCCCATGCCCTTTCCATACACATGATTCAGTAAACAGGCAGCCAACCGTAATACACTCGTGCGTTCACGCAATTAGAATAAGATTGAGGAAGAGAGGCAGGTCTCTTGTAAACCTGCCATTTTTGTAATTTAATTTCAGTTTATACTACATTTACAAATAAATTTTATCTTTCTGTTCTTCAATAAAATTCCATTACAGCACAGCAACTTTCTATTTATGTTCCACCTATTGAGGCTTCATCACATTACTAACTTTAGAGGGTTTATGGGTTTATTGATTATGTTTTTGTATTTTTTATATATTTTCATACATAATTTTTTAACTAGAGTAATGTATAACACTGCTTCCCAGTTTTATAGCTGGTGCAAGTTCTTGAGAACTATGTCATTTCTCTAATTTTCATCATGGAGCATCTGCTTAATATTTCCTATTTTTGCTCCAAAGCCCCAAATTTCTCACGGAAGAAGTTCAGTCGAGTTTTGGGTTGTGAAGAATTAATGTTTTATTGATAGGATAAATGAATATATACAATACAAGAAATTACAACCATGGTCCCTAACAATAACAAATATTACAAGTAAGTACAATTATATATTTCAACTCTCCTCCTCAAGTTGGTGCATAGATATCGCGCATGCCCAACTTGGATAACATTGTATGAAATGGACCGCTAGCAACTCCATGTGTCATTACATCGGCCAGTTGTTCTACCCTCTTGATGTATGGAACCTCTATATTTTTGGAGTCGAGATTATCTTTGATGTAGTTCCTATCAAGTTCAACATGCTTTGTTCTATCATGTTGCACAGGGTTATTTGCGATTTTAATGGCAGCAGTGTTATCACAAAAAAGTAACATAGGCTTGTCCGGACCAAAGCCAAGTTCATTAAGGAGAAGTTTTAGCCATGTGAGCTCGGTAGTTGCATGATGCAATGCACGATATTCCGCCTCAGCACTGGATAATGAGACTACATTCTGTTTTTTACTCCTCCAAGTCACAAGATTACCCCCAACAAATGATACATAACCTGATGTGGATTTTCTGTCCAATCTCGATCCAGCAAAATCAGAATCCGTATAGCCCATAATATCTAGATGCCCCTCTTTTGAGTACAGAATACCCTTGCCTGGAGAGGACTTTAGATATGCCAATATCCGATTAACTGCACTCATATGCTGCTCACTGGGGTTATGCATGAATTGACTCACAATGCTAACTGCATATGACAAATCCAATCTCGTGTGGGTTAGATAAATCAACTTCCCCACCAATCTCTGATATCTCTCTTTGTTTGTGGGAATCTGGTCAGGATAGATAGATAGACCATGATTTACCTCAATGGGTGTGTCAACAGGGACACAAGCCGACATACCAGTTTCTGCTAGGAGGTCAAGGACATACTTGCCTTGGGATAGGATAAGTTCTTGCTGAGACCGTGATACCTCAATGCCCAAGAAATACTTCAAGGTACCTAAGTCCTTCATTTCAAACTCCTTTGTCAAATGGCTTCGGAGTTTCTCAATCTCACTAGGATTATTGCCCGTAACAATCATATCATCCACATACACAATAAGTATAGTAATATCATGACCATCTCTCTTATAAAATAGAGTATAATCAGCCAAGGCCTGTTTAAAACCATACATTTTCATTGAACAACTCAATCCTCCAAACCACGCCCTTGGTGATTGTTTTAGCCCATACAAGGCTTTCTTCAACTTACACACATTACCCTCTGGAGGAGTAAAACCAGGAGGAGGATCCATATACACTTCCTCTGTCAGATCACCATGAAGGAATGCATTTTTAACATCAAATTGCCTCAATGGCCAATCAAGATTGACTGCTAGAGATAGGATGACTCTAACAGTATTCATCTTAGCTACTGGGGCAAACGTTTCCTGGTAGTCAATTCCATACGTCTGTGTGTACCCTTTGGCAACCAATCTAACCTTATACCTATCTACAGCTCCATCTGCCCTGAATTTTAATGAGTACACCCATTTGCATCCCACAGTCCTTTTTCCTGGTGGTAGTAAGACCATTTCCCAAGTAGAGTTCTTTTGGAGAGCATTCATCTCTTCTACCATAGCAGATTTTCATTTAGGTTGATCAAGAGCTTCCTGAAAGTGATTAGGTATAGACACAGATGACAATTGGAGGGCAAATGTTAGGTTAGTCTTAGATAAACGGTGGTACGAGATATAATCATTTATGGGAAAGATAGCATTGGAAGAAGATTTCGAAAATCTAAACCTATCAGGCTTATTATGGACTCGAAGGGGATATCTCCTATCTTGAGTATCAACAGCATCTAAAGCTGCAGGATTAGAGTCAGAAATAGAGATAGGAGTAGAAGGGGTAAGCAAAGTAGGTACCTCATTTTCAATCTCCGAAGAATCAGATGGCACTGTAGTATCAACAGGAGGGTTATTATGGTCTGAGGAGGATAATACTGGAGTACAAGCATTGTCTAAATTTCTCCTTGTATAGCATTTTCGGAACAAGAGAGGTGATCTATCATCCTCAACTCTAGATTCATTTTTGGATTCTACTTGGGATTCCCCCTCCTTTCTAGAAATCCACACTTTCTTTTCATCTAACCACACTCGTTCCTCTTCCTTACTACTAATCTCCCCCTGAAGAGGAACTAACGACACGTCATCAGAAAAAAATGATTCTGACTCGCAAAATTCCACATCCATAGAAGCATAATATTTTCCTGTAGGGGGTGAAAACATTTGTAGCCCTTCTGGGAGCTAGAGTAGTCAAGGAAGACACATTTCAGGGCACGAGGATCAAATTTATCTCTGAGATGAGAGTGCACATGAACATAACACACACAATCAAAAACTTTAGGACATAGATTTAAAACAGAGGGAATAGAGTGAAACTGTGACAACATTTTTAAGAGAGTTTGAAAGTCAATGATGCGAGCAGGCATCCGATTTATGAGAAAGACAGAAGTAGTTACCGCTTCGGCCCAAAAACGTTTTGGAACACGCATAGTAAAACATAAGACTCGAGCAACTTCAAGAATGTGTCGATTTTTTCGCTCTGCGATGCCGTTTTATTGAGGTGTGTAAGCACAAGTGGTCTGATGGAGAATGCCGTGAGTCGAGAAGAAGTTGCCAAGAGTTTGGTTTACAAACTCACGACCATTGTCAGAATGAATAACTTTGACCTGTGTATGAAATTGTTTCTCAATCATTTTAGAGAATTTTGGAATAACATGCCCAACTTCACCCTTAGATTTTAACAAATATGTCCAACAAACTCTGGGACAGTCATCAATGAAAGAGATAAAATATTTATGACTTGTAATAGATGGAGTAGAGAAAGGCCCCCAAACATCAGTATGAACACAAGTAAAAGAAACATAACTTTTATTAAAACTGACTTTGAAAGGTACACGATGATTTTTAGCAAAAATACATTGTTCACACCGCATACTAGAACTAGAAATGTTTTTAAATAACTTTGGGAACAAGTGTTCTAAGTAAGGAAATGAAGGATGGCCTAATCGACAATGCCACAAAAGAATCCTATCTTTTGGAGAGGATTTACTGACAACTTGAAGACCATGGCTATCCTCAGTTTGCAAACACTTTGTTCCTTCCAAAAAATACAGCCCTCCTCTTTCTCTACCAGTGCCAATCGTCATCTTCGTTCGATTGTCCTGAAATACACAATGAGTAGGTGACAAGATTACAGAGCAATCAAGATGCTTTGTAATTTTACTAATAGATAAGAGATTAGTGGAAAACGTAGGAGCAAGTAAAACAGATGAGATTGAGAAAGTAGGTGAAAACGAGACATTCCCAGCCCCAGTAATTTTGATAGGAGTCCCATTAGCCACTTGAACAGACTGAACAGGCGAATTTGTCAACGAGTCAAATGTAGAGGGATTACAGGTAAAATGATCAGTAGCTCCAGAATCTATAACCCAAAAATCAGATACAGTAGAAGCAGATTGCACCCCAGAAGTACCTTCTCCAGAAGATGAATAAGCAACATGAGAAACAGTAGCTGTAGGTGCATGAGATGAATGCGTAGTCTGAGATAATCTTCCACCCCTCTTCTCTGCCCTCTTTGCTAAATACCAGTCTGGATAGCCATTTTTTTTGAAACACTTGTCAGCAGTGTGTCCTTTTAGGTGACAGAATGAGCAAATTTCAGTAGACTGAATAGGAGCTCGTGATCGAGGATTCAGTAGATTGAATAGGAGCTCGTGATCGAGGATTGAACCCTTTTACAGCCAACGCAGACACCTCAGAATGGCTTTCACCCCCCATAGTGGGTTGTCTCTGTTCCTCACGACGAACAGTCGAGAACACCTCTTCTAAGCTTGGAAGGGGTGTAGTAGCCAAAATACGACTACGTACTTGATCCAAACCATGATCAAGTCCCGCCAAAAACATATAAATTCTGTCTTCAGCACACCTCTTCTTTAATGCATCAACATCAGCGGTGCACTTCATGGAATTAGGTCTGCGATGGTCAAGCTCCAAAAAAATGGAATTCATTTCAGTGTAGTATGTGACAAGAGGCCGCCCCTCTTGCCTCAGTTGAAAAGATTTTTTCATTAGTTCATAAACTTGAGATGAATCAGAGACATCAAGATAACTTCTCTTAAC